ACAGATTTAGGTACGGCAAACAACTCCCTAGCGGTCACCCATACTTGCTTATACCCAAAATCTCGCCCAAAATCAGAAAGGTTTTTAGTATGCCACTACTTCGCAGTAACACCAACGTTCAAATCATACTGAAGACCAAATCTGCATGCTCTCCAACATCAGACGTTTGGTAATATTTGGTTTTGATTGGTCGACATAACAATAAGATCGGTAACTTCGATAAGCTGAGCTTCATATGGCGTTATTTCTCTTTCCTTGACTCGCAACTTAATATTCATTTCGTCAGTAATTTGAATCAGTTTTACCAAATCCATCTCCCGGCACAGAGATACAGTAGCTGGACGCAATGATTGCGTCGATAGCTCTCTCATTCGATTAACTGCTTCACGAAATACCATCACAGTATGCCTGAAAAAATCCTGCAATGAAATACGTTAAAGAAAAATGCTAAACTACCGAAATAGTTCATTCTCGCTTAATGATCCCATGAAGCGATCCAGATAGTAAAAGTTGCTATGCAGGTGCACCAATTTGGATTGGAGAATCACAGTTATTAATATGGGAATGATGTCTTCATTATTTACCACTGGTATGTTGGAGTCTGTATCTACAACGTATTTGAGATTAAGTATTTTGATGCAGTGATATACAGACCGGGGTGTCTTGAAATTACATTAATTAATGCCATTTTGAGCTCTGCAAAAATTAAGTCATACGTCGTACACAAACACCACATTTTCTCCAAGGGACTTTTATAAGAATCCAAGTTCGCCAATTCCACCACCTGCAAACCACCGTTAGGGTGCTGTGGTAACAAAAATGTAACTCACTGCAGCCGACAATGATATTGTCCATTCGACAGGTGCTCCTAATTGTTCCGACGTTACATTTTTTAATTCTGAAGCCTTGTTGAAATAAAACTGATCTTCAGTTTTAAATCTTTGGTAAATCTGCGGCATGACGAGATCGTGCAAATAGTTAAAGACCACGCAATCCACAGACACTTTTGTTTTCCACTCCGAACAAAGACAGTGTAATTGAGCAATCAGTGATGCTATACTACTTTCAACTTCCAAAGCATCCCGTTGGCTATTGAAGAATTTGAACACGAAAATTTTGATTATCGTCAAATAATCATGATCATCCTCTTGCGCTTTTAAAACATCGAAAGCCCTGCAATATTACAAGATAGTGTCAAATTGATATTCTAAAACACCTACTGTGTCAAATTAGTGAGGGCCTCACTCATTGCGAGAAGTAAGCCAGGTATCTTTTGTTTTTGCGATATGACTAAAGAGGTTTCCATAGCGACCCTTAGTACCTATACAAACAATCACATTGATTATTTTTATTCAGCCACAATGGACTGGAAAGAAACAGTGACACAAGTTTCAGAAAAGGTGTTTCCGGGAATCTCCCACAAAATTAGTGACAACGATAATATTGGTACCTACTCAGTGAAGTACACGTACCTACCTACTTATATTTATAACTTTCTTTTCAGAAAATGAAGTTATGTCTAATCTTCCTTTACAAATGGCACTGTACTTTAATGTGGTGTTTGCCCCAGTTTGGTTTGTGATAATTGTAATTTTCTTAAAGGAAAATGTAACTGTCGTTTTGGTTTAATTGTTAATTAACGCGATTGGTTTCCAGTTTGATTGTTATTCGGAGCTGTACAAGTTTTTATCGGTCACAGTCATTGTATCGATCTTAATTGCGGAAGTATTACGCTTATATTTGGGCTACGAGGGTAATTTACGAGATAAGGTACCTAATTGCTCGCAGAAATGTACTAATTCAGTAATTCAACTACCTATGCTTGTTACAGATACCCGAATTGGCGGGGTTTTGGATGCTGTCCGTCCTTTTGCAATTTCCTTTACAGAGCCTTCTGCTATTTAATCCGTACTTTAATTTGTATGTCGTAGAGGTGTTTGTTCAATCAGTGATGCTACTACTTTTATCAGCGCAGTTGTTTTTTGGTTACAGAGCTTTAAAGTTTACAGCTTTGACGCAAGCTGCATACTTTAAGTTGGTGAAACTAAGGAATGATAGCTCTAGTGCCAAAATTCTATGTAAAAATAAAGTTTTATGATGTTTATTGCAATAAACATATATATATATCCTAATCATTTGTGTGAAAGAAATTCTCTCCGATCCTTGGAAATCCTATAGAATCTGTAACATTCAGCCCATCCGAAAAATAACTTTCAGCCCGCTAGCAGATCGATTCCCCAGATCGAAACAAGCAAAACAAGTAAAAAGGTTTGGACTTAAGGCGAATATAATAATAATAATAATAATAATCTTTATTATTCTGGCGAGGATCAACATAATGCTGTTTTTCCTAACCAGCACGCAATAAATGACACACAAAAAAAACATTAAACTGAAAAATACAGATTGGTTGTACTAAATAATACAAAAAATTCGTGTTATAGAGAAAAACATTAACAGAATCCATAATTTCAAACAGTTCCAAGATTGGGCTACTAGTTCAAAAGTTACAGCCCTTTGAATTTTCTTTCGAAATTAGTTTCTAGTCTATACCTAACTTTTGATTGAGAAGTCTGATCGAAAAAGTACAAATTGATTTGGATTCTACGCACCCAAATTAATAAGAAAAAGTGTTTTCCCGAGAAATTTTGGTGCAGTCGATTTTTGGTAAAAAAAGGAAGGTCTGCTGCCTTTTTTTGAGCCCCGAAGAAAAAATTGTCTCAGATCGACGCGAAAAAAAAATTTTCTTGTAGAATGTGGCCTGTAGAATCCATATAATTTCAAACAGTTCCAAGACTGGGCTACTAGTTCAAAAGTTACAGCCCTTTGAATTCTGTTCTAGTCTATAACTTTAATAATAATAATAATAATGACTTTTATTAGCTACTCACAACTGAATACATGCATACGATACAAAAGAAAAACAAATTCTGTATGCTAGGTAGCTAATTGGGCGAAGTTCGACTGCAGTATCAACAGAAACTGCATTCGCTCTTCCACTTAACCCATTTCCCAAATATACATATAATGTTTGAAACGAAAGACTATATGGCTTCTAAATAAACAATATAAATTGGTGTGCATATGGTTGCGGCACAACTTGAGGACGATAGATGAATGCTGAGCTGACAAAGCGAGTTAATGAATGTGTGGTTCGATATGAGGACTGAGAACTTGCTCATATAAAAAGACCAAATTGACGAGTTTATTGCAACTGACTATCAAGTAAGAATAGTTGGACGTACTTTTTAAATTTAAGAGGAGGCAATCTTTTACACGAGTCCGGCAAGGAGTTGTAAAGTTTCGCTATGTTGTAGCTAAAAGAGCGCTCATAGAGTGTTGATTTATGCAATGGAGGGGTGATTAACGCAGCGTACCTACTATTTGAGCTCAGTCCGACCTTCTCATAGAGATACCGTGGAGTCTTCCTAGAGATTATTTTATGATATAAGTTAGCAGAGTGACCGAATCTCCTATTCTCCATATTCAGCCATTTTATCTCATGTAATTTATGAGGGATTCGATCATACTTCCTAACACCATAAATCAGACGCAAACACGAGTTTTGCATTTTTTGTATCCTGTACTTATCGGCTGCGTCCAAACAAGGTCCGTACAATGCATCACAATAATTAAACTGGGAAAGGACGAGCAATTCGCACAAAATACTTTTTATCTGCTGACTGATGCAGCGCCTGTTACGAAAACTTAATCTCAGATTTAAAAAAGCTTTCTTTATCATCTCTGACACCTGTTTTTTAAATCTAAGGTCAGAATCCATTATCACACCAATTAAGGTTTTTTGCGCAACTTTGAAATTGGTAAGGTTGAGTCCTTTATACGTATTCGCACTGAATCTTTGAGTCGTTCCCTTGCCTTTCTCTTCCCAAACAACATAGCCGATGATTTTATAGTATTAATGTGCAAGCCATGATCCTCGGACGTTTGAACTATTCTGCATATATCACTATTCATGAATTCAACCGCTTGTTCGATCTTACATTCGAGAAAGTCGTAGTGCAATTGGGTATCATCTGCGTATTGGTGAAATTTAGCATGCTTTAAACAATTGCCGAGATTTGAGGTGTACAATAAAAATAGCAATGGACCTAATATATGGACCCTTGGGGAACCCCACAGCATTTGATTGAGAAGTCTGATCGAAAAGGTACAAATTGATTTGGATTCTACGCACCCAAATTAATAAGAAAAAGTGCTTTCCCGAGAATTTTTGGTGTAGTCGATTTTTGGTAAAAATGGAAGGTTAATCACTGCCATTTTTTGAGCCCCGAAGAAAAAATTGTCTCAGATCGACGCGGAAAAAAATTTTCTTATAGAATGTGGCCTGTAGAATCCATAATTTCAAACATTTCCAAGATTGGGCACTAGTTCAAAAGTAACAGCCCTTTGAATTCTTTTCTAGTCTATAACTTTTGATTGAGAAGTCTGATCGAAAAAGTACAAATTGATTTGGATTCTACGCACCCAAATTAATAAGAAAAAGTGCTTTCCCGAGAATTTTTGGTGTAGTCGATTTTTGGTAAAAAGGAAGGTTAATCACTCCTTTTTTTTGAGCCCCGAAGAAAAAATTGTCTCGATCGATGCGGAAAAAAAAATTTTCTTATATGAATGTGGCCTGTAGAATTCCAATCCGCCGTGAAAATGTGCGTTGTGTATTGGGCGCCTTAAACAAACTAAGTGGCATTTTTTTCCTCGATTCCTCTAACTTAATAAAAAGTATAAGCCGTCTGACTGAAACGCCAAATTTTGGATATCTAACTTTTACATGAGAATATCTAAATTTTTCAAGTATGTATAGCTGTACCTTGTAGAGCTACCTACCTATTGGATAATGTTGAACTTTTCACATCCACCCTCAAAAACTAACCAATTAGAAAACAATTACCTATACACAAAAAACAAATCTAAAGATATAACAATTTATTGGCACGTATCAAAATAAAAATAAATACATTATGTAAGTAACTCCTCCAAACAATGTAGGAAGCGTAGTTCAGTTTTAAATAGACGCATGCAGCGTCGGCGTCGTTCTAAATCAATGTGCTAAATATATTATTTGAATGAATACTATCGTTTAGTAAATTCATACGAAATGGGCGGAGTTGTACCTTTGGTTTCTGTAGATTTTGAGGTTTTTGGACGAGTTCAAGGTACTGTATGGCTGTTATTATCTTCTGTATGCAATGTATATATTCAACAGGGATATACTTTACGAAGCACTGTCGAGAATTTGCAGAACAACTGGGTATTACTGGATGGGTTAAAAACACTAGAAAGGGTACAATTGTTGGTATTGCGCAAGGATATAAACCCAATATTGAAGCAATGTAAGTGCCAAGTAATTAATAGGCACTTGGCTTACTTCCAAATTGAAGTTTTTGTGAATTCCGCAGGTTCAACGAATGTATCTGTTTCAGGATTAACTGGCTGTCCCATATCGGATCCCCCGGTTGTGAAATAGACCACTGTGATTTATCAAATTGGCAAACACTAGCTACAGCCGAATACAGAGGATTTTCCATTAGGTTTTAAATGAGTTGCTTGTATTAATTTTTATAACAAAACTTGTCACATTGGATTAAATATTCAACATCTACAGGCAGTTTTAATAAGGTAATAAAAGCCAAATCGAGTGTAGCATGAAATATTCCCTCCCCCTTCAAAAGAACAGCCACACTAGTGAGGTAGTGGACAATCCAGAGTATATCTATTAGTTAGGGGGAGGTATGAGGGAAAACAATTTATGGCAATATCACAATATGTTACCCCAAAATTGCTTTCAGTTAGAAGTGTCTCCAGCATTGGTGTGTGACATTCTAAATGAGTCCAGAATCTGGCAAAGGGCTAATCACCATCTCTTCAGCAAATAATATTGAAAAGCCAAAAAGGCTGTTCTGATCCCAATCTCTCTTACAAACTGCTCGTACCTTTCATTGTATTGTTGCCTAAGTGCAATCATAAAACAAAATTATAAAAATCGAGAGATGCAGCTTTTTAATGTCTTATTCCTATGACTTGCCGTTATTGAATCAAAATTGTCAAAACTAAACCCCCGACGTCAATTTATTACCAAAATAAACACATGCGAAGAGTTACAGGCTCAAATCTGGAATATACAGGGTGTTCTACTGAAATACCAAAATTCGTTTTATACATTATATTTCTAAAATATCTGAACTGCTCACAAAGCAAACTATCAGAATTCTATTTGTACAAAAGATGTAACTAATTGCTATCTCATTTTCATAGGGGGCAATGTCGTGATAATGGGAGTCTTATAAAAACAGAAGCAAACGCAATTCGTAAAACCGCAACCGTTAGCCCATTTACAGCCACAAAACTAAAGGAAATTATCGGTGTGAAATGCCAAATTAATATTAATAGGTGAGAAAATGTTCTACTAGCTAAGCGAGGAACTAAAATTTTTTCTCATATGGCAGGCATTGTGAATCATCCAGATGCAGTATTAAAAGCTAGTATAACATTTTTACAATTGAATATGAAAATTTTGTACAAAATATCGCTGGTTAGTAACCACTGCGTTGTATTACCGAATTATTCATAAATCCGCTGCCATACAATAGTAACAAACTAACAATGAAACCTGACTGCCCATTAAAGATAAATACATTCATAAGTACAGAAAAAAATTGGTGAAAAAAGCGCATAATTTTTATTTAAAAAAAAAATCAAAAATGGGAACTTGTTTGGTCAAAACCTTAACAAAACTAAAGAAAAACTTATATAAACAATCTTACCTAAACAACTATCCATTACATAACTATTACATTAAACTTTAATCAAGTTCACAACACCCAGTATAACCCATTCATACTCTCTAACAAAGAAAATCACTCTCAATTAAAAAACAATATCTGATCAATTATACAAATTTTTTTAGTAAAGTTAGTTACAAAAACAAAGACCAGGTCAATTGTTTACTACGCTTTCATTATTGGCATATTAGCGCAAAAGCCTCAAAAATGACCTTTCTCAGTATAAGTGCAATATAGTAAGTGTTTTATACTCATTTTTGTGGTCGAACAACAGGAAACCCATATCAAATGTTACAGTGGCGCACACTCGGTTTTAGTAATCAAATACAAAACACAAACTATTGCACGGCTTGTAAAAACTCATAGATACAAAAATATCCATCTAAACAATAAATGTTTTTAATTTATTCCTAAATAACGAATTTTTACCAACGGGCTAGTCCTGCATCTCTTCTGGTACTTCGTGCGGGTTTAGGATACCAGGTACAGTCATTTGAACTCTACGTTTCTCGGTTTGTGCTTGCTGTAAAGCCTTCTCCCGTTCTTCCAAGAAAAGATCGCTGTCATCTTGTCCAGTGAACTCCTATAAAAAAATTAATGAATAGGTCATGAGAAAAAAACTGTGA